AAATTACAAATGATTATTGGAGTTCTGAATTAACATATTTTAAAAAAATTTATTAGCTTACCTTTTTATGTATGGCATAAACGTATATTAGCTCATTATTTACGAAATTTATTTTCACGTACTACACCTATTAAATGTTCTATACCAGCTGAACGATGTTCATGTGCTGGAAAATTATGTAAAGAAGCATTTATGCTTGATAAACAATTTAAATCATGGGATGGTACATCAACTGATAATGCAACTGAATATCATTTTAATATATTAAGTAATATAGCTGATGTAGTTGAACAAACAGACTTAGATTTAATTGTGCTTGAAATAGCTACATTAGCAAAAAAATATCCAAATTTAAGTACGAATCAGGTTATACAAATTTTATTATTACACGAAGATTTAACAAAACAAGAAGCATCAGATACAGCTGATGCAGCTGTAGCATATATGCCACGTGTTAATCAAGGTATTCTATTTGAAATTATGGAAATTGTTAATCAACCAAATTAATATTAAAAATCGAATAGAGAAAAATTCTTTATTTTCATATTATATATTTATTTTCTTATATGTGTATTTTATCTGCTTTTCTTTTTGTCATAAGCGATTATTATTTCTATTGATTTCCAATAAATAAACATGTACAAAATCAATATCAGTAGATTTTTTTCCTTAAAACATAAGATATTTGATTTAATTTTCAGAGACATATTACTCAGTATTAAAACGTTTAAAATACTTTTTATGGTCTTGATGAACATGTTCATTTACATGAGTATTTTTCAGAATGCTGAAGTTTTACTTGTATGAAAGAGAATCGTCTTCGAAAATTATTTAACAAAATATTCGCCCAGAAAAAAAGCTGCAGTCCATATTTTAGTTAAAACCTTATCATAAAAACGTATTTAAAAAAAACTAATTATGTATTTTGAAAGCCCGTGGAATTTTTCCATCACTATATATATTTATATTTTAGTTTATACATAACTATTATCAAAATAAATCGAGTACAATGAAGGTACCCTTATGTCTAGATTCCCACAGACATGAATTTTTCATTGTCATCAAAATNCAAAACCTTGAACTTAAAACTTACACTCACTATTTTCTTCGAAAATATACGTGAGTTCCACAAAACCGAATCTGAATAGTGTTACCCTATTTCTAAGCAACTTCTCAATTAATATTTATGTTCTAACTTTCTAACCTTCACAGAACCCACAAGTGCTGAACAGGTGCTGAGTAGGTGTTGAGGTGCTGGAAAGGTGCTGAGGTGCTGAAAAGGTGTCAAGGTGCTGAGGAGGTGCTGAAAAGGTGCCAAGGTGCTGAGCAGGTGCTGAGGTGCCAGGGTGCTGAGTGCCAGCACTTTCCCCCTTGGTCCACACTCATTTAGATTTATCGATCTCTCAATAGAAGTTATATTTACATTCATTTTTTTGCATGCTTAACTTTTCGTACTCATCGTTTCGCTTTCTCGGAAAATACATACCATACATCAAAAATGTCCATTCTAGTTTTTTCTGTGGATCTTGTTGAGAAGTAATCGAAATAGCCATGAGAAATTCGCCAAAATCTAAAATAATACTCACATTTTCATTCGTGCTTCAAGCAGGAAACAATGAATAATTGAAATTTGAATTTTCTTGCAGTAACTGTTCGTTATTCTATCTTCAATAGAATTGTTGTTATTAATGATAAACTTCTCTGTAGATATTAGAACGTTGTTGAGTACATTTCATAGGTTTTATCAATGTAAAATTATATATTATAAATTGCATGTTAATGCAGAACAATTTTCCATCTCTATTTGTTTTTTTATGTCAAAAAGGCAAACGACTACTAACTCTGTTTCATTGTACTTTCTTATCCTTCATATAGAATTCGTCTTTACTCACCGATATTGCCCGATGAATCCGTGTCGAATGAACGAAAGACATGTTTGCAAAATTTCTCAGCTTTGCGAGTGGGATACAATTGCTTGTAGATTTCAATGAACTTTTTTCTATTCAAATTTCCAGATGGACAATCTTTCTGTAAACAATTGAAAAATAAAAGAAATATGATATTCAAGATGGCATCTCATCTTCAATGGCTTCCACGTGACTTATATATAAATCGATTTAGAGCTCGCATACAAGCACACTCAACTTTTCATTTGAATCGGAAAGACGTACATATAGTCAGTAATGACCGAAACAAAGAATAAAAGAGTCTTTGTATTACGATGAAAAAGGATTATAGAAATCGCACGTAGTGAGCTCTCAACCTACACATAAGCAGATAATAATTTGGAACGTGATAATTCTTTCCGTTCTATGCTAATGCTGTGAATCACGACACGGAAGTCATGTGCTCATTTGATTGCACATAAACATATATAGGATGTCTAGAAAGTCGTTAAACACAGAAAAATTTAAATATTTTCACCGCACTTCGATCAAATGAGCAGATGTTTTTGTGATATTGGAGAATAATTTCAAGCTTGTATTCATGAATGAACAGCCCATTCATACTCATCAAAGCAACAAAATTTTTGTTCACCATACCACTAAAGAGTTTTGATGAAGGTTTATTTTCCATCCATCGATAGTTCTCCCATGTGATTTTGTGCTAAAAACTAAATCACTAAGTTTAACCTTTGTCTCATTTTCTTTTGAAACCTGCAGCAAACAGACTAACACATAAGTATATATACATCAGTTGTATCATTTGACAAAATATATAAAAGAATATCCTACAATATCGATCTATGGCTATGAGTTAAAAATGTTTGTGTGCTATTTAGTAGTACAGTGAACAAAAGTCGGTTGATTTTATTTGTATGAATAGACTGTTTAATCATGAATAAAAGCTTGAAACCCTCTTCTACGTTTGCAAAAAAATCAACTCATTTGATCGGAGTGCTGTGAAGATTTTCAAATTTTTCTTTATTTAATGACTTTCTGAACACCTTATATATATATTTCTGCCCAACTAGCTGAGTAAAGTGCTTCTCGCAATACGAAGAATGGAATAAAGAGAATAATATATGCTAATGAAATATTCGACTCAGTGCACTTACCAGAAAGCCAGCATGCCATTCGCGCACTTGTTGCGATGTAAAACCTGAAATAGTCGATAAATATGACACATCGCTATCTGTCAGTGTTTTGCCAGTTTTGATATGACTTTCTTGATTGATCAAGTTACTCTTCCAGTCGGCAGATGCCATGTTTCGTATTTGACTGAATAACACAAAAATCTTTAATAAGTCAAAATGGCATGAATAGTTAAGTAATTATTTGCTTTTTTTCTATTTGATAACGACATTATTTATCCTTAGTTGCTTTTATTATTCATCTCATAGCAGTAAAACAATTAGAAAATCATGCCAGCTTACCTGCCTAAAGCTCAGAGAAAGAGAATATATTGTCCTCTTTTCTACCATAGAACAATGGAAAAGATTCTGTTTGGATAGACTTTTTTCCAACTATAGATGAGATGGACAAATAAATCTCGTGAAGAAACATTCTCAAGTGATAGATTGCTTTTATTTATTCAAAAAACGTCTGACTGAGACAAAAAAAAAGAATGAAAAGTTCATGCTGAAAGGATTTTTCTTCAAAACAGGACCTGACGAGATCAGAAAAAGTTTACATCTCGACTTTTCACAGCTCATGGATGAGAATGTATATGTCGATATCTTAAAAAATTAAATTGGTAAAGTTTTAATTTTCTCGATATCTCATTTCTTGTCGGGGCTAAAAGTCTACCCTGAAAGTTGTCAGTGGAAAAACTGTTCGAGAGGATAAATCGATGTTTTTATAATATACAACTGCTAGTCAGATCAAGACTGAACAGAACATCATCTGCTGTACTGCCTAATGGTCTCAAAAAATATTTCTCAATCAGCTATGCAGATCTATGAAAAGTCATTTGAATGAAGCTATGATGCGCTGGTTTATATAAATGCACGAACGCACACAAATGGCCTACGCAATTATTAACGTCATAAGATAAGCATTTGACAAGTGCAGCAAAACTATGAATACTTTTCACATTCATTTGAGATAAGAGTCAAGTATGATCACTAAACATCATCGTGACTTTGTCTGATGAATAATATCCGTATGAAACGCCATATGTGCAGGAATTATTGCTAATAAAGATCAATCAAAACTAATAATCAGACGATTTATTGTCTTTTAGTCACCATTCAAGTGTGTTGACTAAACTGACGTGAATTCATGTAATGGTCAATTTATTGCATTCGTTTTTATTAACAAGCGATAGTAGCAGACTAGTAGTGCGTTATCATTTCTTCGTTATTTGTTGATTTCAAAAAGTGCTGAGCATTACCTACGACAATGACTTCGAAAATTTTCTTTTAGTGATCCTTCAGAAAAAGAATTAAATATTGGTTTTAGTATATTTATTCAAACTACTCTCCTTTAGCTTCAATATACTTGTGTATTCGAAGAGTGTGTGGATGTGGATCCTCTCTTCGCTCGCAAATTACACCCAAACCCACACCATAAAAAATGGCAGCCTGGGCTCGACTCAAATATTCATCATAATGATGATTGTTTAGAAATGATTACTACCTTACATTCTATGGTTAATTATTTGAAAGTATTTGATAATATATTACTGAATGTATCACTTATATGAACTCTATTACACCAGAAACAAAAATATTACTTATTGTTTCCAGTGACTTAGATGATAGTATTATATCTGAAATTGATCATTTGTCAAGAACTGTTTTCATCGGTGTATTTTGTTATGAAAAAATAAAACATGAAATTTAGTCCAATCAATATTAGCCAAAAGTTCAAGATGTTTTTTGTTGATAAAGATACACTTTATTCAAAAAATTAGTATCCGATGTCAAATTACAAATAAGAAATTTTTTACCTATAAATATATTAAGTGAAAATACACAACAACGATGTATTCAAGATTTAAATAAAGAAAATTTTTCGTTCATGTAGTTTCAATTATTAATAAAAATTTTAATTAATATGGAATATGTTGACAATGCTAAAAATAAAGTGAGCAATTTATGTCGAAAACAATATCAACATAATAGACAAGTAATAAAGCAAATCGAAGAATCCTTAACGAACTATGATAAAAATCAAGCTACTGAATGGTATTCTAAAGATATATTTCTTTTTCGTTGATTGAATAGAAAATGCTTATTAAGGAACTAAAAGTTTTAGAAGAAAATCAAAATGGATTAATTTTGACGAATACATTGTTTTCGACTACTGTAGTAACTTATCATTAGTAGCTAGTCAATTAATTTGTGTTGGTTCTCAAGATGATCCAACAGTTATTGTTACAATTTCTATTGATAACTATATTTGTAATCAACCATTTGCTATTCTTGAAAGTTTAAGTCAATTTACTGAAGAAGAAGAAATATTATTTTCAACAGGTGCAATATTTCAAATTAAAAATGTTAAATAGACGAATGATGTTATTTGGTCTGTTGAATTAAAATAATATGGTAAGGAAAATTTAGAATTAAAAAACAACTTATGAGTAGTTTTGAAGAAGAAATTGGTGCAATGCCAATACTTCTAGATCTTGTGAAATGTTGTTGTATATATGAGAACATGATAAAGTCGAAAAATACAATCGAATTTTACTTGAATAATTATCACCCATTGATATTTCTACATCAATAGCTTACAATAATATTGGAAGTAATCCATAAAGCACGTTGAATCCAAAGTCGAAAGTTTTGTGGAACTCACATATATTTCCGAAGAAAATATTGAGTGTAAGATTTAAGTTCAAGTTTTCGGGCTCCCCTCCCCCACCCCATTACAAACACTTAGCAACATAGGCCCCTATTATAGATCTTAGCAATCAATAATAAAAAGTGTTCATTTTTTTTTGGAGAATTAATCAAGTTATAATTTTCAAAAATAATGAATATCATTATTTGTGACTTCATTAATATATATGATAGTGTGTAAGATTTGCTGTAGATATCATAGATATGAAAACACACGTATTTGTCAATCAATTCAATGATTATAATAATTTGAATAATAAATTAAGAAAAACGAATTTAAAAAAAATAAAAAATAATGAACGAACAGCAACAATGCAAACAAAAAATATGGCACCCATAGAAAAAAAGTTTTAAAAAATTCTGAGGTTCTTACTCTTGTGATTGATTATCCTGCAAAACAATTGTAGTCTAAGAGGGGATTTTTCAGTTTACGTATTTTGTATTAGTTGAATGAGGCTAGAGAGCATATGTGAGTTCTACATTTCAGCCCCAAAGAGGCTGCGCTAACAAGCTTTTTTATTTGCTCCTTCAGCCCAGCTTTAAATAATGCTTAAAAAAGAGAAGAATTCTCATGGCTTCAATATATATTTGATCTCTCCTTTTCTTCTCTATTCGAATTAAAAGTGTTTATTTATCTTTACTTGATAAAATAAATGTAGCAGACTACAGCTGCAATTCCAGCGCGATTGAAATCTGAAACACGCGATGCAGCTGCTGCTACTATTCACAAGAAGATTGTCTTATTGTATCTATGTACACACTATGGTTTATTCCTTGTGTACTATATCACAGCATAATGAATGATGTGAGTGTCTTATTCTCAAATCGTATGTACACGCTTCGACTTAACCTGCATTTATCTATTCAATCATATAAACAAAAAGTTTATCGTTTCTTTAAACATTGCTTGAGCAAATGGAAAAATTTTCTCGTTCCTCAATAAGCTGTTCGAAACAGCAAGTTTGACATTAGATTATACACTTGAGTATAATGTACATTTATTTGAGAAGGAACAGAATACGAAGCATTACTTGTTTTCATTGAAATAAAATCGCTGTTTTTTCTTTTCTTATCTTGAAGTTGATGTCGTAACACAAGACAAGAAATTCGAGATTGTACTTCATTTTTGTTTTTCTTCTCTAGCAATTTCCTCTTCCAATAAACTACGAAATACAATGTCTGATAAAGATGTTATCAAGAATTTTGATTCTGGAAATAAAGCATTTGAACAAAGAAAATTCGAAGAAGTGAGTATATCTGTTAAATTTGTTTTCTTTTGTGATAGCAGATTTTACGTGTATAGGCTATTAAATATTTGCGTTGTGTAATCTCATCGAATCACGCAACAGTGATTGAAAAAAAGCTATCATATATTTTACTATTAGATAGCTATTTAGCGATGAAATCTTTTGAAGATGTAAGAAAACATCCGAATGCGAAAATAGCTATCAATATTTCTGTTTGTATGCTATCTATTAGGCTACGAATGTAACAAATGAAGCGATAATAACTTATTCGGATGATTATCTTATGCATCTAGAACTCGGTCAAACATTGAACAGCAGTCACTATGGTGCGGAAGAAACAAATTCAAATCTTCTAGAAAAAGCACAACATCTAATCGAATGTGGTATGATCTTATTTTTCTGAATTTGAGCGAATGGAGAAAAAACTCAAGATAAAAAATAGAATTTTAAAAACGAATACAATATCTGTCGAATTAGAGCGCTATGCAAGGGGTTAAAAAAAATCTCGTCCAAAATAATTTTCAATCGAATAGTATTTTCATATTGAAAATGGTTTTGTTTTCTGTAGGTTTATTGAAAGTTCATACAGACTCTGAGAAAAACCATGCCAACTGTGCACTTATAAAAAAATCTATTTGATCAAGGCAATTATTTCGGTAAAAAAGTCATTTCTGAGCTCTGGTTCAGGGAAGAAAATGAACCGCCGAAATGTGAATGTAATAATTCCACATGTGAAAACTGTAAAACTCATCGAAATCAATCCGAAATAAAGATGAATGCACGAAAAGCATGCAAGATTTATGGTGATGTGCTCAATCGGGAACGTTCGTCTCCTAAAGTTCTTGATCTCCAACGACTACATGATATGGACAGTGTTCTATTTAAACTTTTCGGGCATTCCGATCTTACTCATTGTATTCTATGTTGGGTAGAGTCAAAACAGATTCGTTTGAGTCACATTGTGCCGAAATCTGTACTTGAATATCAATTGAAATTTTTTCCATACAAAAATGTGGGCTTCTTTTTGTTATTTTCTTCGGGCCATCCAATATATGTATCTGGTGCAAAACAAGTGAAATGGAAGATGCTCTGTTCCGCTTGCGAAAGTCGGTTTTCCACATGGGAGAACAAATTTGTTGAGATCTTTTTTAACGAAACGAGGGACAACATCAAAAGGAGTACAGCAATAATACAGATTCATGGTGGTACTGAAAACCAAGAAGTTGAATACAAAGAGTGGCTTCAATCATTTTTGATCAGTTTAGCTTGGCGTGAACTTGTGCGTCGTTTTGCTACGAGCTCTACAAATGAATATGCTCAAATTTCAGATAATATAATGAAATTAATGCATGCATGCCGATATCATTGTACTCAAGAGTATGAAAAGTCAGATTACCGAATGCCACCACTTGGATGTGATTGTCCATCGAATGTTGCTTTGATTATCGCACCTACAATATGTTCATCGATAGCACATTATTCTAGTCTTTTTCTTACACAATGCGTCATGTCAGTTTTTTCTGCTCCAGGGGTAAGTTTCTAGATTACATTGTAATCGTGAATAGGCTTGGCACTTTAAATACGCGTCTAATTCAAAATTGACTCATTTCAGTGACTCTGTTTTGATGACTGATCGATGAGGTGATTAGTATCTGAAAAAAAAACATACAAAAACACTGGCATTTATGATTAGATACAAGTGTGTCCGTCATTTTTTGAGAAATTTGAGTTGGTCAATAATCGAATCCCATCATAGATAATTATATTGTCAGATTGAAATAAAATTCTTTTTAGACTGATTTACCTGATGGCACCGTTTCGATCAAGTTTGGAATGTTTTATATTCTTTTGATGGATGATGGCAAAGAATGGTTAGAATTACCCGAACGTGTTCGTATCAATCGAGAAGGCGTCTTTGTGATTCCGTCGGATAGTGAACGTGCGCGTTTCGGTGATCTGCCGAATTGGTTTATCAAGCATCTTACTATTGAAGCAGAAAAGTTTGAAGCTAAGATGAGCGAATTACGAAAGACGACAAGTTGGGAAAACGCCAAGCGAAGACAACAATGCTATGAGGATGACACTACGGGTTGTCTTCGAGAGATCTTTCTTGTTCTGCAACGAAATCTCTATGAAAAACCACAAATAGCTGATAGTTATTTACCAAATTGGTTCAAATGTGAGGAATTCCATATTTCTTCACTTACAACGATTCTTGAAGGTATATTTCGTGTATCTGACAAACGAACATTACCATATAAGGAACAATACAAGATTCTGTATGACTCTGGAGATATCTCAGGCATTGGCACATTTGGTTATGTAGAAATCTATATTAATGAAAGATCGACACTAAAAACAGTGTTTAAGTTTCCGAACAATTTTACGCAAGAAACTTTTCGAAAAGAAATTGAAGTTTGTGTCGATGGCCTCGAAGATGCGAAGCAAGATAAACTCCTCAAATATTGGAATTCTAAAAGTCCAAATAGTGTGCCTGAAAAGCGATCGAAGACAATTACAAGCACACAATCTACTGCTACGATGGCTATCTCACCTGAACAGCAACATTCGACACGTTTGAAAACAGCAGCGGATCTATTTTGGGAACTGATTATATTGGGATTTGAATGGAGCAATTCTGAGAATTATAAATTAAGTTGTTAAAATAAGGGTGTGGATATGGCTGTGAGAGTACACATTATTAGAAATAGATCCGAACTGATACCCGTACCAACAGTCAATATTGACTAATGAAATAATTATTGTAATAGATCAGACCTAAAAAAATATATATTCTTTTCTTTTGTTTTCAGTCTCAAGGAATAAATTTAAACTAGACTATATAACAGAGTAGATTAAATGTCAAACATTCCATTTTTCTCATAAAAATTTAAACTATATTTGAATATGGATTTGAATTAAATGTAATCAGTAAATTAATCTATTTTAAGCTACTAATTTCATACTAAGGAAATAGTCTAGAAAAGCTTGTCTCTATTTTATATTCTTATTTTTTTCATTGAGTGATAATGTGTTACTTGCGAATTTGATCAGTGATTTGTAGTGGAAATATTTCTAATCATTGAAAAGTGCACGAAAACTTACTATTCGAATGATTATATATAGACTTCAATAGCTGATCTAATGAAAAAGAACTATCAAATAAAAATACAAAAGATGAAGATGAATACCTAAGATCAAATCTGACATGAATTGCTTATTGTTTAAATCATGTTAAAATCTATTATACACAATCAAAACTAGATGAAATGATGGAAAAGATACATCAATATGTCACAAAGCAATGTACGTATAATAAAAAAAATTATTGATTACTTATTTTATTTGACAAATCTTTCTCATTAGAAGATTTAGTAAAGTGTATATTTAATTATTTAAATAAACTGATGTACTCTACATTTTTTTTCTATCGAAATATTTATTATACATATTCAGATAGAAGTTTTACGTCATCTTTTATCATTGGCAGAAGAAGATTTTCATTAAGTTTAACAATTTTACTATGAATATGAAATAAATGAAAATGAAAAGATACCAATTTTTACAAAGAAAAAAATCTACAATAACAAAATATCTAAAGATGATAAATATATTTTTAAAGCCAGATTTGAATCATTTCAGATGAACAATGTAATCGATAAGGTCGACTAAGTGGATATTGATGTAGTTGTTGTCGGATTAAATTTGGAAAACAAGTTGTTTTAAAGAAAGTTGGATTACTAAATTTCATTTGAAGTGAAATAAGTTGTTGTAAATTATGAACAAGAAAATAAATAAGATTAACAATATGTTTCATACATTTACTTTTATCCTCAATAATAGATGATGGTCTCCAATGCCGTTGTCTATATGAAGCATAAATACAAAATGAAATTTTTTTTAAATTAAATAATTGATTCGATAATAATGTGAAAAAACGTTGAGCACTGTCCAATGTCAATGATATATCGTTAATATCCAATGATTGTATCTAATAATTAATAGAAAATCAGATTTATTATTTTAAAAAAAGATTTTCTTAATATGAAACATAAATGTCAATCAAAATATAAAAAATTCTTACTTGTTGATTGATACGAGTTCCAAGATTATCATCATTATGAAATATTTTGTCGAGTAAAATACTACCCATAATACCTAAATCTAATTCATACACATTATAAGCCATTTGTAATATTGTTTCTAGTTCAGCTGCACGAACAGCATCACCTTCTTCAATTGAAATTTTTGTAAATAAAGACCATGGAATTAATGATGATGTAGGACTTTTAAAATAGGGAAGATTTGGAGAACGATTTTTGTCCTTATAAGAAACTAATAATAATTCATTTGCACATGGAAACAAATCTGCTGCATTAGCTGACATTTGATAATATCTAAACAGAAACAAAAAAAGAAGAAAAGTTTTTTTTTATAAATCTTTCATACAAACAATAAATTTTCTACATACTGTTCTAAATGTTTAGCAAATAAATTCGTTGGAAGTATTGTACCATTATATGGTAAAGTATATATAAAAAAACTATAAAGATAAGTTGTACCATAACCCGAACATTCTTGTATAATCACCCTTGACTGTTTTTGATAAATAAATGGAGATTTTAAAAATGAATTGAAAATTATTTTTTCTTCTAAATCTTCCTCAACATAGAATGATAAATTAAGAATATACGTTGCCCATGGTTTTAATCTATCGATACACAAGTTCTGAAAAGTGTCACCTAATATAATAAATGGATCAGAAATGAACATATATATTTCTAATTTTAATGATAATTGACTAAGTTGACCAAATATAGATGATAAAAGTGCAATAATTCGATGAAAACTAATGTTATCTGTACAATCTATATGTAGATGAGATAAATACAAAAGAAGATGACTATTAACAGAGGCAGGTAATCTACTAAAACGATTCATATTAGTTATAATTTTATTGATAAAAAGAATGTTATTACTTACGAGTTTATGTCAAAAATCTTATTCTGATTTATCCATGGATCGTAGACACCAAAAGAAAGGTTTTCAATAAATGGTATACACGTTAATAAACGCTCGATAAATCGTGATGTATGTGTACCAATAGTCAATTTACGAAGATAAATTGTATTCGATAGATTCGGTAAAATCATTTGAAATTTCAATGAACATTTTTCTAATTGATCAACGATTTTATATTCATGATTAAATGGCAATCGACAAATTCTTAGAAGAGGCAATTGTGAACATACCTTTTATAAAAATAGAAAAAAATTAAAGAACAGGGGAGCATAAGAAGCCGATTTGGCCCATATAATATTTTCAGTCAATTTACTGCCCATCCTATGTGGAAAAATGTGGTGATTCTTTTGGTAATAATTTCAACTGAAGCTGTAAGGATTATAAGCCACTTTGCGGGAGAATGCCTGCAAAAAAATATTGAAGTTTCATTGGGCTCTTAGTTGTCTAGTATTAGCTCAAAATATACAACTTTTAGGCAATGTTTCAAGCTCAATCTATATTGGTCAGAAAGAGCATTTAATTCTGCATCGTTTCATATAAGAGCTACTATTCTTTCATTAAAAATGTAACCATGGAAAATACTGTCCTTTCACAGGGGTATGCTTCGGTACCTCACATCCGAACAATAATTAGAACTGTTTGACATATTTTTACGTGTAAGCCAAGCTTTCTTAAATACCATTAGATAGAGCGTAGAAAGAGCTACAAAATGATGCATAATTGAGTTGATTGCAATATGGGCCACTATATTGAAAGTGTGTATGAATTGTTTGGCAGCACAAAAAGTGCACTTTTCTGCTCATTATTGAGCGGATTTGATAAGAATAATTCGACTTTTGATAGATGAAAACGGCATATTTTAAATCAGCATAAAAAACTGAGTCGATCCATATAGTTTTGAAAATTTTCTGAGTACTTTTATTTTCGTCCAAAAATTCAACTGGGGTCCTCCTCAGAGTTAGGTCGAAAAATGAAATCGATTGAAACGCCATTCGGACTGTGAAAAACAAGTTCTGCAGTTCTTAAAAGTTAAGAAAATTAAAAAACACAAATGAATAATAAATAAAAACACTGTTTTAATGGATTTCATTTTTTGACCTAACCCTGAGGGGGACCCCACCTGAATTTTTGGACGAAAATAAAAGTACTCAGAAAATTTTCAAAACTATATGGATCCACTCAGTTTTTTATGATGATTTAAAATATGCCGTTTTCATCTATCAAAAGTCGAATTATTCTTATCAAATTTACTCAATGAGCAGAAAAGTGTACTTTTCATGCTCCAGAACAATTCATGAACACTTTCGATACAGTGACCCATGTTGAAATCAAATCAATTATGTATCATTTTGTAGCTCTTTCTTTGCTCTATCGATTGGTATTTAAGAAAGCTTGGCTTACACGTAAAAATATGTCAAACAGTTCTAATTATTGTTCGAATGTGAAGTACTGAGTAATACTCCTGTGAAAGGACAGTATTTTCCATGATTAAATTTTTAATGAGAGAACAGTAGTTTTTATATGAAACGATGCAGTATTAAACGCTCTTTCTAACTAATATGGAAAGAGCTTCAAACATTGTCTAAAAGTCGTATATTTTGAGCTAATACTAGACAACTATGAACCCAATGAAACTTCAATACTTTTTTGCACGTATTCTCCCTCAAAATAGCTTATAATCCTCACAGCTTGACTTGAAATTATTACCAAAAGAATCACCACATTTTTCCACATAGGATGGGCAATAAATTGACTGAAAATATTATATGGACCAAATCAGCTTCTTATGCGCCCCTGTTCTTTCTATTATACTATTAAAAGATTTTTTTTTTTCTTATTACAGATAAATCTGCATTTCATAATGAATTGAAAAGAATTTTTGTTTATTTACCTTAGTTAGATAAACTCCTTCAATTTTAAGATCGTGGAACAGATTTGGTGATGTCATATCAATTAACAAAGTATGTATTTGTTTTATTAAATGATTGCATAATAATTTATCAAGTTCATGTGGTTTTATATCGATTAAATGAAGACGTTGAAGTAAAATTTTCTGATGACATTGAAGAGACGATGAAATGAGTGACCATCCACCAACAACATGACTTAATGTTATACGTAATGAAACAACACGTCTTCCAATTAATTTCAAAACATTTTGACAAAGATTATTAAACATCGATAATGACATTATATTATCACCAATGCAAATATGCCACAAATATTCATTCATAACAATTTTTGAGAAACGTTTATTCAATAATAAAAATGATTGAAGAATTTCAAGAGGAGATAAATAATCGAAGATATCAAAAATAATATCGACAGGTAGATATTCAAACTTACTGACACTCATTTCTATTTTCATGTTTTTTGTTAGTCCTTATTGAATTATATATACTAGCAGACACAATAATATACGTCCGTCTATTTGATTGAATGAACATTGTTTTTCGAATTTTTTGCTTTTATTCTCAACGACTGAATTTGAAGAAAAACAAACAAAGAAAAGCATTGACATTAATATTTATTCAATGTATGTTAATAAAATGTGTTTTTGTTTTAATCTATAGATATATTATTCAAAATTTTATTCTTCTTTTGACATGAAAGCTAAGAAAACTTCGAGAAATAAAACATTTTCAACAAAATAAAAATAATCAATTTCATTCATTTTATAATCTCATATTTAATGTTATTTGGAAAAGACAGTCAATATAGAACTAATACTCAGGCAGACACACAATCAATCAAAAGAAACAGTAGAACCATATATTCTAATCAATAATAACTATGTAGTAAAAACATGCACATTTATCGTACAATTTTCGTTATTTATATATATATATAACGATGCATTTTTAAGACGTTAAATATTTTTATACGTTCATAGCGCTTTAGAATATGTAATTTTCATGATTCAAAAGTCGTTTAACAGTTTAAATGCTCCTTTTTTACATTTATGAGCTTTTTAGTCAAGTGAACCTGATTAAAGAAGAAAAGATCAATTCAATAGTTCAAGCTTATTTGACATATTTATATGATAACCTCATAACTCTTACAACTCTGATCACATTCTCGAATATTATCATATCGGAAAAACTTTTATTACATAGTTTGGAAGAGGTTAACAAATATGCTGTGGGTGTGAGTGTTAGTGCCGTGTAATGTGCGAAAAAAGAATGAAAGTAACACCCACACCCATATTCAACTATTGGACGCCGTTCAACTTCATATTTTGACTACAAATAGAACTTTGTGAGACTAACGAGGGAACCTTCCCAGGTGCCCCCTCGGATTTCAATGAATATCTTCTCATAGATACTACATAGTGCCCTAGTAGAAACTCTAAAAGGGTTTCGGTTTCTACTGCTTTCTTCAAAAGCTATGACCATTTTACTGAATTTTCGACCCATTCTTATGCATTTATCGAAAAAATCAAATTATCGAATTTCAACCCGAAATTTTGTCCACAGGCAGGCCTAATGGTCCTTAGAATATTCTGAAAGTTTCAGCCAAAAAGAATGTTTCTTTCTCGAGATATTGAGTTTTCAAAAAATAGTCGCTTGCCACAGATAGGTCACAAAAACCGAGTTCACTTGAAAACTCAATATCTCAAGAAAGGAGCTTTCTTTTCAGCTGAAACTTTCAGAATAGTCTAAGGATCATTAGGCCTAACTATGGACGAAATTTCAGGTCGAAATTCGATAATTTGACTTTTGCGATAAATACAAAGGAATGAGTCGAAAATTCAGTAAAATGGTCATAACTTTCGAAGGAAGCAATACTAGGGCACTATGTAGTATTTATGGGCAAAATTTCATTGAAATTCGAGGGGCACCTGAAAAGGTTCCCTCGTTAGTGGGTGTGCGTGTGAATGTAACGTTTCTCTTCACTTATAACCACACTGTTCGATATGCACTCATATTCCTATTCACATCCTATCCTTCAGATTCGGCAGAGACTGGTATAGTTACTCAAAATCAGAAACATTCACGCAATATTTGTTAAATGCATGATAATCATCTGAGACGACTAACGTAAGTCACAGACAAAGCTTTCACCACTCGATGAGTTCTATCGAATTGTGCGTGGGTGATGATGATGAGGTTCTGTCTACTCTCAACCGTATCAATCCGACATTCAACTCACTTGCAGCCTGTCACCATCCTACTCACCCGGACATCGACATCCATATAGGTTTTGACACTGCTAGAAGTGCTTTAATTGATATCTTCATGAACATTAATGCTTCAGATAGAATCTAGTATTTGACTATTGATTTTAGTTAACTCTTCATAGTATGCGAAAATAATGTGAGACAATCAAAAGAATCTAAAACTTGCTTGATAAAAATGCATTCGTGAGTCAAATATCTTAGAATTATTGTGAACAAAGCGAAAAAGAGACATAATTGTAATAAATGATTAGTTTTTAATGTTATAAAAATGGATTCATTAGACTGCAAACGAGTTTTGATCACATCAATCAATCGTTATTTTTTGGGTACTCTAGTTTTTGAGAAATGAGTGAAAACAAGTACATTGATATGATACGGCAAGCGTTCAATGTTACGATGTTCGAAATTAGAGAGATACAGGCATGTTATTATCTTCACTCAGTTTCCTATATCGGTAAATACCAAGAAACATGAAGAATAAATCAAGTACAAAGAATAGAGCGCCAATGATCATAGTCCCCTGAGCGAATTCAGTACTTGGTTTCTCCCATTGAACCATATGTGGCTGACGTGTATCAAACCAACATGAATGTGTGGTGTTGATCTAAAACGCAAACCATCAGTGATTCTTCAATGTCATAAATACACAAAAATGTCTCATGTTCTTTTTACTAACAGTCCCCCTCCCCTGTCATTTCTAATAATGTGTAGAATCCAGTTTGCGAAATGTAACATGTTCTATGTAAGTCAATCCATCCATTGCAAAAATAGAATCGAGATACTATTCTCTCAAATCAGATAAATGTCTGCTTTCGTACATATTCCTCTTCACATAGTAAGTCACTTGAGAAAATCCGACATTGCTCTTCTATGTTTCGAATTAAATCGAAACAAATGATGCGAAAACTAAATTCATTTTACTGCATATCTTCATATATGGGTAATTATGCACAAGACCGGTTTCTATCAGTAAATGTTGTATTTACCTGATATTCATCTATTTTTTCTATAACTTCCTTAGGGGATCGATGTGTTCCACTTTCGATGATGGTGTTAATCGTTGCTATTTGTGTGTGTTGCACTTGCCATATGATTCCATAACACTTATAACAAGAACGGCGTGACCAGCATGTGTCATTTTTATAACCAATCGTTAGCACACGACAATTACTCTGTTTATAATAAAGTTTTTTTAAATCTTCAACATGATAGAGGTATAATCCGATCGAGAAAGCGAATAAGCCAATGAGAAATGTATAAATAGCTAACTTAACTGCAGTATCAACCTTCGGATTAGTACACTTTCCAGTAGGCATGCTGAGTAAGAATCGAAAAAATAAAAACTTTCAGTTTCGTTACTTTTCTTTTTTTTCTTCTGTTCCGCATGGGATACACCAATAGAAGACATTAGTAGTCAATTACAACACGTTGTGACGTTATTAATCGATGAGAGCGTAATAACCATCATTCTGCAAACGTGCTAAATATTTAGATGAACCGGTCGATTATTCTTTCTATAAAGTAAATGTTTTTGCTTCTTCTTAAACACTCTACAGTTATACCATTCCCGCTGTTGATATGCATGGATTTCACAAATCTTATCAACATTAGTGAATAATCAATCATGCAAGACGATCATTCGTCCATGAAAAAAATTTGTGTGCAAAATAATGTTTCAACGTCTACTTTCAGAAGGAAAAAATTTTTTCTTTGCGTTTAAATGCATCGTTGTTTATTTCAACGTGTTTGCAGTCTCCAATAAATGTTATTGCAAATATCGTTCGAATGCGTTTACTTTTATACATTTGATGAGATTATTTGTCATGCATTTAAACGTATATTTTTACTGACAAACAAACGACGTTTTAATGAAATGCATTATTCACAATGCGTTTTTCTAGAAAAAATAATTCAACAAACGATTTAAATCATTAGTTGAATTCATACAGCCCACGAAAATCAAAATTATACTCTGATTTTTTCACTTTTTATTTTTTGTGCAAATCATAAATTAATAGTGTATGCATAAAAGCGTAATATATGATATGTACTAGTAGATTGATGCCATGAATAACTTGTAGTTGTATTTAAGGTAGATTTAAAAAATATATGTCTTCATCAAAAAATGTTGGCATCTGCAAATAAGAATAATGCTTTACAAAATAGCTGAAGTGATTAATTCAGAAAAGAATTCAGAATATCAAGTCAAATTAAACTGCGTAAATAAAAACACTTTAATCTTTTCTTGGGATATTTTTAGTTTTGTATCAGAAATTTGGATTGAAAATTCAGCGAGAATTATTATGCAACTTATACATCGAGTACAGTATTTAAATAACAAATTTAGCTTACTGTATGATTAGTGTTTACAAAAGTTTTTTTTTTTAATTTAATATCATACTTATAAAAGTACACTTGTGTTGAAAAATCAACCACCCCATATTCACGCTCGTCCAAAAAAACTAGTATACATTTTCTTTTCATTGATCATTCAATGTTTCCATAAGTTCAAAAAAATGTAGCAAAAATTCATACTCATTGTAGGAAGAAAAAACGAAGACAATATTCACGAGGATAGCAATGTTTCGAATTTTATGCGGGAACGATCTTCCTTATTAGAAAATTATAAATAATGCTATTTCAATAATCAACTTAAATTTCAAATTCGTCTGCCACATATACAGGGGGTGGGGGTAGATGAGTGAAGTAAACGATACACACCAACCATAACGTCCGCATCACACACAGACACCCACGCTCGCAGAGCATACCGACCAACATCCAGTAGTATGCACAACATATTTGATGGTTTGCCTCTTACTGTCAATAAACTAAAACGATCGAAAATCAAGGAAGGGTATACTGAAGGATTTGATTGTGAGTGTCGAAGAAGAGAACATTTGCATTTTCACCCTCGTCAGAGAAAGTTTTGATTTTGCAAATGATCTTTCTGCAGAACTGAACCGATGCTACTTGTTCGAAGTAAGTACTATGTCAATCTATTGACATAACAATTCAGTAGATTATTTGAATGATTGAGACCAATTCGATTATTCTCTTAGGAAAAAATTAAAAAATAACTAATGAGCCCTATTAGGACGATAAAAGCTACAATTTGGAGCATATTTTTATCACCATAGATAATTCAGATCAAAATTTAATACTTTTTTTTTCTT